CCACAAGAAATCTGCAAGGCCGGTGTAATGACCAATAGACGGGGGCGGGGGTCAATGCAAACGGAGGTCAGATCGCCGGATCTTGCAGGATCCTGCAGAGCCAGGGTTGCCTTGATTTGGGCTTGGGTGGGGTTCTGCAGGACCCCGCAGGATCCTGCAGGATCTCGCAGGATTCTGCAAAGCCTGATTGACCCGAGTCTGGACGGACCCGGGTCCGTAGATCCCCGAGCCTCTGGGGCTCAGAGGAGGAACGCTGAGGAACGTGTACTCCAGATTTCGTAATAAAAGGGAGGGGGTCTCAACCCTCCCAGACGAGAAGTTTTAGACCCCCCCCCCTGAGAGAACCCTCCAAAACATCGTCCCCAGACCCCCCCAGGCCCTCCAAGACAGCCTGGAAGAGACCCCCCCCCGAAATGAGACCCCCTCCCTCTTATTACGAAATCTGGGGTACCAATGCTGCTACCCCTCCCTCGTCTTCCCCCGGAGCGCCTCTGGCACGGGGCCCACGAGCATGGCCAGGAGGGAGAGGCGGGGCCCCGAGGGAGACGGGCCCCGGAGGCTCCTCTCGCAGGGCTCGGGCCCTCGGGGCCCTCCAAAGGGCCCCGGGAGTGGCAGAAAACAGCACCGTGGGAAAACACACAGCACTGTGGGAAAAACACACACACAGCCTGTGGGACAAACACACACACACTGTGGGAAAAACAAGCACACACACAGTGTTTTTTTTTTTTTTTCTTTTTGTGTGTGTGTGTGTGTGTGTGTTTGTGTGTGTGTGCGTGTTTTTTCCCACTGAGGATGAAGAAGTGGTGGTGGGCGATCTGTACGTACCGTGCCGCGTCGGCGTCTCCCGAGGGGCCGCCGGCCTTCGGCCCAGGAATGGTACGGTGCAGGGTTTGCCGGCCCTGAAAAGCAGAAACAGAGCTACGCACCGCACCGCACTGGAGTGAGGGGGAGGAGGAGGAGGAGGAGGAGGAGGAGGAGGAGGAGGAGGAGGAGGAGGAGGAGGAGGAGGAGGAGGAGGAGGAGGAGGGAGTTCAAACATGGTACGGTGCATGAGCGCCGTTCTCGTAGCCTCTGGCACGGGGCTCAGAGGAGGAATAGGCACCTGTACCGCTACCCGGGAGGCCCTCGTCGCTACCGCTGGATTTGCCTCGAAATTCTGGTCAGAACGCACTCCAGGAGAATGCGGGTACCTTTTGTTTCCCGAGGGGTGCCTTTGGTACGGGGCCCAAATCGGGGAAAAGTGAGATTCGAGTTTTCCAAAAGCCCCTGCCCCTGTGCTGGCCCAGGCCCCCGCCCTGGCCCCAGCACCGGCCCCAACGAATCCAGGCCATCTGCGAGCAGCTGCTCTGCGAGCAGTGGAGCGCGCTTGTCTATAGGTTTAAGTCGGCGTGTCCCTCTACAGGAGGAATCATCAGAAGCAGTCAACAAAAATAGTCTGGGTACGATGTTTCGATAATTTTGCCGTATGTTTGAAGATCTCTGAAGGACTTCTGGCTTTTCGTCCAGAATCCGCCTGTAGGGGGGCATGCCCGACCTAACTATAGGTCCATCCAGGGGAAGAAACAACATACAGTCTGTGGGGAAAAGAACACACAGTGGGGAAACACACACACAGTGTGTGGGGGGAAGAACACACAGTCTGTGTGTGTTTTCCCCACTGTGTGTGTGTGTGTTTTGTGTGTGTGTGTGTGTTGTTTCCTACGATGTGTTTTTTGTATGTTTTTTTGTGCGTGTTGTTTGTTCGGTCCAGACCGCCGCGGCGCCCGCGCCACGGCAGGAAGGCACGGCGGGGGGGGGGGGGGGGGGGTCTGTAGGGGGCCACCTGCGAACCCTACCCCTACCCCCCACGATTTCTGAGGGGGAGCGTGGGTTCACTTCGCTCGGGAGCTCCCGAAAAGTGAAACCCACCCTCCCTTTCAGAATCGTGGGGGGTAGGGGTTAGGGTTCGCAGGTGGCCCCCTAGTCTGGGACCGCCCCCCGTGGCCGCCGCCCCCGCCCCCCGTCCCCTCCCCCCGGGCGCGGGGAGGGGCGTCCGGCGCGGGGGATCTCTGTCTCCTCGACCGCCGCGTGGGGGAGCGATGGCTCGCGGGCCTCCGCGGGCGGTGGACATGGATAGATTCGGGCCTCGGGAGGCAATCCATATACATATATATATATATATATATAGATATACACATACATATATATAGAGACATATATATATATACATGCACACATATATACATATACATATACACATATATATATATATATATATATATATGTATGTGTGTATGTATCCATGTCCATGTCCATGTCCATGTCCATGTCCGTGTCCGTGTCCGTGTCCGTGTCCGTGTCCATGTCCATGTCCATGTCCATAGCCGCATCCGCATCCGTATCCGTATCCGTATCCGTATCCATATCCATACGGTACGTCGACAGATGTTGCACCACCTGGCGCGGACAACAAATCGATTCGCTGTTCTATACGTGTCTGTTGTCCACCCCCTTCCCCCCGATCTTAATATTGGGTGCGATCCTGGCTGGTCGAAACAGCTCGGTGGTGCAACATTTTGTCGGGGGCCCCCGGGCGGCCCAAGGGTTCTTCGCCATGCACCCAATATTAAGATCGGGGGGAAGTGGGTGGAAAGAGCAATGCAGTATAGGTGCCAATTCGCAGCAACAGTTGTGCAACATTTTGTGGATGTACGGTGTCCATATCCATGTCCACTGCCCGCTTGGGCAACAGGACGGGCGGTTCCCGGGGCCACCACACTTTTTTTGTTCGTCAGCGGCGAGGCGGCGACATTTGCACCAGCGTACAGTGCCGTGTTTGATACATGCTCCGCGTGCGGATCATGTATGAAACATGCAGGGTTTGGTATCAAAGACAACGATGAGCTCATGTATAGATTTGTCCATACATGAGTCAGGTTCAAAAATCATATATCTTTTTCAAACATCCGATGTCTTAAAAAAGACTGCCCTGCAACAGCCAGGCAGGGGCACCCACTGGCGAGCTGGCCGGCGTGCACGGAGGGGTACCGCGGGCCTCACAGGTCGAGGCTCGGGCGCCCGCCCAGCCCCCTCATCAGGTGACCCAGACCCCCGACGTCATGATTTTTTCATGACGCGACCCCCAGAGGTCCCGACCCATTCCCCGGGACCGGTTTTGCATCCTGAGTCGTTTTTTGACGCTCCCGAGGCCCGGCGAGGGCCCCCGGAGGCCGAGAATAGCGAAAAACCTCCCGTCGTGATTTTTTCACGACGCGAGGAGGTCTGGGGAGGGGCACGACCTCGCCGAGGGGCCTCACGACGTCGAGCGCCCCGCCCTCGAGCTCCCCGTCGCCACGTCGCGGAGGGAGGGCCGCTCAGACGCCGGAGGAGCTCGACGAGGAGCAGCCGGCGGGCAGCAGCAGCCGGGCGCGCCGGGCCAGAGCGCGGGGGCCATCGATCCCAGACCCCCTCGAGAAATGAAAAAATCATGACGGGAGGTTTTTGTACATTTTCTGCCTCTGGGGGCCCTCACTGGGCTCCGGGAGCGTCAAAAAACGATTCAGGACGAAAAACCGGTCCCGGGGAATGGGTCGGGACCTCTGGGGGTCGCGTCATGAAAAAATCATGACGTCGGGGGTCTGGGATCGGGGGCCCCCCAACGGCGTGGTGACCACACCGTGCGGCGAGTCGGTGGGGCTTCGGGGTCACCGCGCGGTTCTGGGACCCGAGTCCCTCTCCGAGGGCGTCTCGGGCGGCACGGGCCTCCAGGGTCCCCAGGCCGCGCGGTGGCGGAGCGTGCGGCGAGGCCTCGGGGGGCTTGGAGGTCACCGCGCGGTCTGTCACCGCACCGTGTCGGGACTCCAACGCCAAGCACCGGTCCGGCGGGAGACACACTCGCCCCAGACCCCCGACGTCATGATTTTTTCATGACGCGACCCCCAAAGGCCCCGACCC